AGAAGCTAGAAGGCTGAAATCTTGGGGTAACGTTCCCCGTCCAACCGGGTATTAGTGGGCTCAAACTCAACCCCCGGGTAAGCGTGACACCCGCGTACGAGCCCGCCACATTTTTTTTCAGGTAAGTTCATAACTCGGGGATCTGACAAGCTAGAACGCTGAAATCTTGGAAGTATGTTCTCCGTCCAAGTGGGTATTAGTGAACTCAAACCGAGCCCCCGGGTAAGCGTGGTGCCTGCGTACGGGATCGCCAATTTTTTTTTGTTTTGGGCAAGCTGATAACTCGAGTACCTCGAGTACCTCAGAAGCTAAAGGATTGTGATTTTAAGAGGATATATCCCGTTCAACTAAGTTTCATTCAGCTCAAACCTAACTCTCGGGTATGCTTGGTAGACATGCACGGGCCCGTGAAAATTTTGTTCAGTAAGTTGCTAACTCAGGAGCAAGGGAAGCTGGAAAGCTGAAATTTCAGAGGGGGTGTTTTCTGACAGTTCTGGCGGCCAGTCTTAATTTGTTTAGCTAGAAGCATTTGCCGAAAAAGCTGGTGCCGGTAGCAACAAAAACTGCGGGGAACTATGCAAAAAACGCATCTTCGCACGGGGAGCCCGTGCGTTGGCCAATTTTTACCTGTCGAACAAGCCGTATTATAGAGGTGATAAAAGGCTTAGAACTGCCGAGGCATGCCGGGATCCGAATCATGCCGAGAACACAATTTCCACGTAGAAGAGTTATCGGTTGAGCACTCCAAAGCATTGCCGATGTTCTAAAATGAGGGAGCTGGAGGACTGTACTCGCGTCTTTTATTCTCCGTCATTGACTGACGTATAGAGTTTTACTGCAATAAATCGAGAACTGGATATGTTGCTCGCTAAGTCGAATACTGGTGGATCTGGCTTGCTGGTGAGCGGCAGATATGCGCGAGAAAGTAAACAATCATTGAGGTGCATTCGAAGAGGCAGTACACATAAATCAGGCAATAATTAATATTAAATGGAGGCATATAATTCAGCAACGAGCGACCTGATATAGCTTACTCCCAATATATTCTTGCAACGTTCAGAAATGTCGGGAAAACTGGGTCATGATAATTAGATAATCTTGACAACTTTTCAAATGACAAATCAAATCACTACTTAGGCTTTGGATCAGGTGACGTTGCTGCATGGTACACAACCACGTACACCCCTGGGGAATCGTTTGGGAGGGAACATGCAGTTGTATTTCTGGTAATTAAGTGGTCTAACTAACTTCGAGGATAATCATTAGGCGAAAAAATTTTTGTTTTACGAAATTTAGTTTTCAATTTCAGCAATGAAAATGGCTATGACTACAAGAGTACTTTATCGAAAGACATGACGAAGTGTAATAACGCAATCTTACTTATAGCGCCACAATGAAAGTTTTATACCAATACATCCAAATTTACATAATGCATTAAGAACATCCAAAATTAAGCAATTAGCGAAGCAATTACAGTTACTGCAACTGTTGCTGGTTCTATTAATGCGATTAATGCAAATGAAGGTTTTTGTCAATCTTGTTGTAACAGTTATGTCTTTTCGTACAGCAATAACTGTTTTTTACAAATCTAATATCATTACGTTGAGAAGTTTTAATTTTATTATTGCTTTCAGGTATTCGATGTTACATTCTTAGACGAAGAAACTGTTTGTGTGGTGTTGCAGGATCGTGACGGAAAATTGTTCACTGCAAAAGCAATGCTAGATTCTTCCAAAAAATTGCTGACCATATGCAGTGCAATCACTTTTACACAAATTAGCTGCAAGTGAGCTTTTAGCACTTCATCTTGTTAAGATTACCTGTTTGTGTGGCGAGCCAAACTTTTATAGTGACGCTCCTAAAGGCGAGAGCATTCCCGAAATCGTGGAACTGCCTTGAAGTATTGTCCTTCTAAACTCTTAGACATATATGGAATACGGGGTCCTTAGTTATAAAATGAGATAATATTGTATACTGTACCTACGGAGCGTTTACATATTCTACAAAAACGCACTATGTGATACAATGTACATAGTGAACTAGCTGAAAATAACACTTTTGCTAGATTGTTGGGCTGTGCGTAGTGAATAGCGAGCAAACTGTTGTCGAAACATGTAGATAGTTTCTACTGCAAATAAGTAAAAATGTTTTCGGTTTTTTGCCTGTTGTCAGGAAGCATTATATGACGACTATAATATACGACGAAGCGGGGCCAGTGCTGATTTCCCATCCATTATCATTTCAAAAGAAAGAAGGTTGTGACCCACCAAAAATCTGGCTTTTTCATCTGTCCAGTTTTTACAGTCGCAGAGGTGTACGAGCAGTAGTCATCGAGCCAGCCGTAAAGGATAAGAAAGGTTCGATTTTCTCATCCCTTTGTTGATGCTCATTTAAAGTCTGCAAAAAAAGAAGTGTAGTTTTCACAAAATCGTAACGCCGGCGAAAGTGACGTAGGTCCTGTTTGTGCATGGGCAATAACACATGTGGGAAAAGACGGACTAGAACATTTTCAAGATGCATGCAAATCCGGCTCAGCACGCATTCTCAGAACTGTGAAGCAGTGAGTGTTCTTAACAGCAAGCGTCCACAGTGTAAAACCGCGCAAAAATATGACCCCTGCACCAGTTATACGGTACACTGGGCTAATGATTTATGCGGAAAGCCATGGAATGATACAGATAAAAGCTTAATTTTAGGCCTTTTCTGTGATCCATTCATTTATCGAAATCACATTCACTTGTTCAATCGTTTCGAAAGCTCACTGCTTTGCGTATCAATAACTGGCAAGCATCGCTGCTCAGCACGCATCTTAAAAACATATCCGAGTAATCGATTCTCAAAGCCGAATAATAAATATGCCAATCGCTGCTTACTATTACTTGGAAATATTGTCTTGGTTTATTGTCATCAACGCTTGGATAAACCTGACCAAGATCCGCAACTGTGGATCTTGGAACTGAAGTAAGCTGTCAAAACATCTTCATATCTTATTTAGTTGGAGATAGCTTTGCATATTGCAGTATTGTGCAGTATTGCGGTATTACAAACTTGCATATGTCTGTGTCTGCTCAAATGATCCATTTCTTGAGAATATGAGGTCATCGGCGCGAATAGAGAGGAGAGGAAATACAAAGAAATCCCCAAAATTTTTCCTCAGTCGGCTACTTAGCCAGATAGAGAATTACAAAATCTACAGTCTACCTTCAGTCTCTCTAAATTGTAACTTTTATTTCATTATGCGTTTTTGAGCGCTATAGCGCTGCTACAGCGAGCAAAAACGCATATTGCGACGATCCACGGTGTGCGCATGCGTGTATTTTCGTGTGTGTGTGTGTGTGTGTGTGTGTGTATGTATATGTTGTGTGTGTCTGTCCGGGTATTTCAACTCGGCAATCACGCAAGCTCCGGAGCCAAAATTTTGGCAGTTGGTTCCCCGGCCAAGTGCCACCCCAGAACAGCGGTACCAATCCTCACGCCTGAACCCCACCCATGGTCACGTGAAAATTTCGGCAGGAAAATGGCTAACTCGGGAACCAGAAAAGCTGGGAGGCTGAAATTTTGAGTGGATGTTCCCCGTGCACTTACAACTCAAAAGTTTCAAATTCAGCTCCCAAATATGTGTGGTTCTCACGTTCGACCCCGTGAAAACTTCTGGCAGAAAAATTCGCTAACTCGAAAACCAGGAAAACAGGGAGGCTGAAATTTTCAGGGGATGTTCTCAGCCCATTTACAACTTAAAAATCTCGAATTTAGCCTTTACGTATGGCTGTTTCCCAAATTTAGCCCCGTGAAAGTTTGCGGGAAAATTCACTAACTCGCGAACCGGAAAAGCTAGGAAGTTGAAATTTTGAGGGGTATGTTCCCCGTCCACTTAGAACACAAAGGTTTCAAACTCAGCCCCCCCCCCTTCCCTTGTGGCATGCGTGGTTCTCACGTGTGGCCCCGCGAGACTTTTTGACGGAAAAATTGTCGACTCGGGAACCAGAAAAACTTGAAAGCTGAAATTTTAACAGAATGTTCCCCTTTCGAATGTACGTGATAGTTGTATAATTAACTTTCTGAAGTTCGAGGACCAGTATGTCATAAATTCTTGCTGTTGTGATTCCAAGCGATCTTATAACAGCACGAGATACTGCAAAAACACATGATCGCACGGGCCTGCCCGGTGCGCGCCGCCACTGCTTTTTTTAATCCTGAATAAAAAAAGTTGATGAATTCTTCGTTCTAATTGAAAAATTTCTGCCCTATTTGAGCTTAGATAAATGATGCCGGATTTCAGTCTTTACTGCATCGTATCAGTTTTTTCAGTTTACATGTAAGTCGCACTGCCAAATTAGAACAAAGCAAATGGCAGCCTCGAAATTTTTATAGAACAATTTTCTGTATGAGCTAGCGAGCTTCAGTAATTCTTGAATTACTAGCCGAGGATTCAAGCTGATATCAGAAATCTACAACCGGCAACCGCTGTACTACTAATTTTCAGTCATTCGTGCATTCTGCCTAATGCGTTTGAGCATATTTCTGAAACATCGTGACTCCGGCTTGCTCCGCTACGATGTTATAAAATTAATCTAGATTTAGGCCTGAAGTTACGAATTAGAATGAGCTAAATCAAACTCTTAAGATCGCGGAATCATAATTCTGCCTGATTTCGAATCGTATATGAGTTCAACGTGTGATTTGAAAGAAAAAGGAAGTCG